TGAAGTGATAACAAAGTATATGATAACAGATGAAATAATGCATGCATGCGATACTGAATTCATAGCTTTTCATATACACAACAAGGGTCAGAAGAGTAGTAATGTTTAATCACTTTTGTAAATTTGTAAAGGGATCAAATTAATATCCTGTGCTTTATGTCACCTACATGTGATGTCCATACATATCTTTTAAACACATAAAAAACACAACTTTAATACACTATATGTAAATTTGATTGACCATGGGGGGGGGCTTTTGTCCTACCTTTACTTTTTATGGGGGGGCTTTTGTCCTATGTGTAAATTTCATGGGGGGGGCTTATGTCCACCTTGTCATTTTAAGACGGGGGGGGGGGGGGCTTTCGTCCGGGGCGGCTTTTGCCCCTTCCCGTTTTCTGGTTGATATAACATGGAATCACGACTATTAAAGCCTTAAAGTATCATACACTGTTGTCAATTTTATTGCGCTTTTGCCCTACGCATTACGTATTGTAACAAGAGGGCCATGATGGCCCAAAGTCGCTCACCTGTATATAGGCTCCCGGAGCGGGCCAGTTTAAACCCTAGGGTTTTTATTTGAACAAACTTGGTTGACACCCATTAGAAGATGTTTCATGCTAAACATCTAAGGTCTAGCTTGTTGGGTTTTTTAAAAGAAGATTTTTTCAAGTTTTTTTCTTTACACATATAGTTAAAAACAATGACACACCTGGGGCAGGGCCAGTTTTGATCCCAGGGCTTTTATTTGAACAATCTTTGTAGACACTTACTAGACAATGTTTCATGCTTAATATCTGAACTCTAGCTATTCAGGTTTTTTCGAAGAAGATTTTTAAGTTTTTGCTATACACATATAAGGAAAATCAATGTCCCCTGGGACGGGGCCAATTTTGACCCCAGGGCTTTTATTTGAACAAGCAAATTCGTTGAATTTATATCCCCCGCCGAGTACTGGTTATTATTAACACAACAACTGAAGACATAAGGATTTATTTATATATTAATCATGGCATAAACAGTAATATTCTTTGAACTTGATAAATATTCAGGGCAATAACAGAGCCATAACTTTGTGTTAAATAGTAAAATCTGGAAATGCCAATGAGATGTATGCATACTACATAACTAATCAAGGGCCTTAAATCTGAGTTATAAGTATCTGACCGGAACAAGGCGACTATATGCACATCTCCTCTTAGTATCCCATAAAGTTTCATTGAATTCCAGCCAGTAGTAGCAGAGAAGTAGCGAGGAAACAAATATTTTTCTATATGGATACTGCATAACTAATCAAGGGCCATAACTCTGAGTTAAAGTGTCTGACCGGAACAAGCCGACGATATGCGCATCTCCTCTTGGAATTGAAGGTTCCCATAAAGTTTCGTTTAATTCTAGCCAGTAGTTGCAGAGAAGTAGCGCGGAAACGATTTTTACTCCATATGCATACTGCATAACTAATCAAGGGCCATAACTCAGAGTTAGAGAGTGTCTGACCGGAACAAGCCGACGATACGCGCATCTCCTCTTGGTATTGAAGGTTCCCATAAAGTTTCGTTGAATTCCAGCCAGTAGTTGCAGAGAAGTAGGGCGGAAACGATTTTTACTCTATATTCATACTACATAACTAATCAAGGGCCATAACTCTGAGTTAAAGGGTCTGACCGGAACAAGCCGACGATATGCGCATCTCCTCTTGATATTGATGATTCCCATAAAGTTTCGTTGAATTCCAGCCAGTAGTTGCAGAGAACTACTCCGGAAACGATTTTTACTCCATATGCATATTGCATAACTAATCAAGGGCCATAACTCTGAGTTAAAGTGTCTGACCGGAACAAGCCGACGATATGCGCATCTCCTCTTGGTATTGAAGGTTCCCATAAAGTTTCGTTGAATTCCAGCCAGTAGTTGCAGTGAAGTAGTGCGGAAACGATTTTTTACTCTATATGCATACTGCATAACTAATCAAGGGCCATAACTCTGAGTTAAAGTGTCTGACCGGAACAAGCCGACGATATGCGCATCTCCTCTTGATATTGGTGATTCCCCGTAAGTTTCGTTGAATTCCAGCCAGTAGTTGTAGAGAACTACTCCGGAAACGAAATTTGGACGGACGGACGGACGGACAACGCCAAAACTATACCCCCCTCCCGATTCCATATCTTAGCTCTAGCTGTTTGCATTCTTTAAAAGAATTTTTTTAAAGTTTTTACTATATGCATATAGGGAAAATCAATGACCCACTGGTGCGAGGCCAATTTTGATCCCAGTGCTTTTATTTGAACAAACTTGGTAGACACCCATTAGAAGATGTTTCATGCTAAATATCTTAGCTCTAGCTCTTTGGGTTCTTTAAAAGAAGATTTTTTAAGTTTTTACTATATACATATAGGGAAAATCAATGACCCCCAGGGCGGGGCCGATTTTAATTCTAGGAACAAAATTTGAATAACTTTGGTTTTGGGGCCTATAGATGATACCATAGACCAAATATCAAAGCTCTAGGCCATTTACTTTCAGACCAGAAGATTTTTCAAGTTTTCACTATATGTATATAATGAAAATCAATGACCCCCGAGGGCGGGGCCAATTTTGACCCGAGGGCCATTATTTGAACAATCTTGGTAGAGGTCTACCACACAATGTTTCATGCCAAATATCTTACCTGTAGATTTTGCCAATTCAGAGAAGAAGATTTTTTTATGTTTTACTATATACATATTAGAAAAACCTATGACCCCCTGGGGCGGGGCCAATTTTGACACTAGGGACAAAATTTGTACAACTTTGGTATTGGACCTTCAGATGATACCATAGACTTGATTTTATTTAGGCTTTCTTCGTATAATTTCTCCGTGGTGCAGGGATAACGCGCTCGTTTAGTGTGTCAGAGGTGTGGGGTACAAATCCCATTCGAGGCAACTATTTTCTTTTTTTTAAGTTTCTTTGTTAAGGATATGCAAGGATAAAGTGTGGCTGTCATAAAACAAGAGGGCCATGATGGCCCTGAGGTCGCTCACCTGTATAAAGGCACCCGGAGCGGGGCCAGTTTAAACCCCAGGGCTTTTATTTGAACAAACTTGGAAGACACCCATTAGAAGATGTTTCACGATGTTAAGTTTTTACTACACACATATAATGAAAAACAACAATCTACCCCCCTCCTTCCGCCCCCCTCCCCCCCTTGGCAGGGCCAATTTTAACCCAAGGGCTTTTATTTGAACAAACTTGGTAGACACCCATAAGAAGATGTTTCATGCTAAACATCTAAGCTCTAGCTCATTGGGTTTTTTTAAAAGAAGATTTTTTAAGTTTTTACTATACACATATAGTTAAAACCAATGACACCCCTGGGGCGGGGCCAATTTTGACCCCAGGGCTTTTATTTGAACAAACTTTGTAGACAATTACTAGAAGATGTTTCATGCTTAATATCTAAACTCTAGCTATTTGGTTTTTTTCAAAGAAGACTTTTAAGTTTTTCCTTTACAAATATAAGGAAAATTAATAACACCCGGGGCTGGGCCAATTTTGACTCCAGGGCTTTTATTTGAACAAACTTTGTAGACACTCACTAGAAGATGTTTCATGCTTAATATCTAAACTCCAGCTATTTGGGTTTTTTCAAAGAAGATTTTTTAAGTTTTTGCTATATACATATAAGGAAAATCAATGACCCCCGGGGCGGAGCCAATTTTGACCCAAGGGCTTTCATTTGAACAAACTTGGTAGACACCAATTAGAACATGTTTCATGCTAAATATCTTAGCTCTAGCTCTTTGAGTTCTTTAAAAGAAGATTTTTTTAAGTTTTTACTATATGCATACAGGGAAAATCAATGAACCCCTGGGGCGTGGCCAATTTTGACTCCAGGGCTTTTATTTGAACAAACTTTGTAGACACTCATTAGAAGATGTTTCATGCTTAATATCTAAACTCTAGTTATTTGGGTTTTTTTCAAAGAAGATTTTTAAGTTTTTACTATATGCATATAGGGAAAATCAAAGACCCCCTGGGGCGGGGCCAATTTTGACCCAAGGGCTTTTATTTGAACAAACTTGGTAGACACTCACTAGAAGATGTTTCATGCTTAATATCTAAACTCTAGCTATTTGGGTTTTTTCAAAGAAATTTTTTTAAGTTTTTACTATATGCATATAGGGAAAATAAAATACCCCCTGGGGCGGGGCCAATTTTGACCCCTGGGCTTTTATTTGAACAAACTTGGTAGACACTCACTAGAAGATGTTTCATGCTAAATATCTTAGCTGTAGCTCTTTGGGTTCTTTAAAAGAAGATTTTTTAAGTTTTTACTATATGCATATAGGGAAAATCAAAGACCCCCTGGGGCGGGCCAATTTTGACCCCAGAGCTTGTATTTGAACAAACTTGGTAGACACTCATTAGAAGATGTTTCATGCCAAATATCTAAGCTTTAGCTCTTGGGGTTTTTTAAGAGAAGATATTTAAAGTTTTTTCTTTCGTTTGCCATGGCAACCAGAGTTCTGCATGTAATTAAATTCTTTGAACAATTTTTAAAGGTGACCACCAAAGGAACATTCCTGTGAAGTTTGGATGAAATTGGCTTAGTGGTTTATGAGGAGATGTCATTTAAAGTAAAAGTTTACGGACGGACGGACGGACGGACGCCGGACGAAAAGCGATCACAAAAGCTCACCCTGTCACTTTGTGACAGGTGAGCTAAATATGAACAAAAATGATTTTTGATGCAACTACATGTATAGTCATGCAAAATTCCACATGTATCAAACTCTGGTGCCCTGCAAGATTAATTAAAGTACATAAAATAAACTTATACAGGAAAATACATACAGATATACAGTAAATATGTATTATGACATTGATATTAATATAACGTACAGGTATATAACTTCTTTTGTATGCCAGATACATAGTTATACTGGTGATATACCTTGTCAGTGCCATATTATTTACCCAAGCATTATATAAATGAACACAATAAATATTATCAAGCTTAAACATAACTAGAACTCCGCGAGTCGGATGTGTCGCCTTGTGAACAATGTAGTTTAGGAGAAATGGCCAGGACAAAAATGAAATATGAAAAATAACAAAGGGCAATAACTAAAAAAATAATAAGTGCAGAGCAGCAGTTTCTGTGCACTGCACTTCTTATCAATAAGATCTATCATTCTATGATGTTTCAAGTCCATAGCTTTCATACTTGAGGAGAAATGACCAGGACAAAAATAAAGTAAGAAAATCAACAAAGGGCAATAACTCAAAAAATAAGAAATGCAGAGTATCAGTTCTTATGCACTGCACTTTTCCTTAATGAGATCTATCATCCTATGAAGTTTCAAGTCCATAACTTTTATACATTCGGAGAAATGGCCTGGACAAAAATTAAGTATGAAAATTAACAAAGGGCCATAACTCAAAAATTAAGAAATGCAAAGTACTGATTCTTGTGCACTGCACTTCTTCTTAATGAGATCTATCATCCTATGAAGTTTCAAGTCCATAGCTTTTATACTTAAGGAGAAATGGCCCGGACAAAATTAAAGTATGAAAATAAACAAAGGGCAATAACTCAAAAAATAAGAAATGCAGAGTACCTGTTCTTGTGCACTGCACTTCTTCTTAATGAGACCTATCATCCTATGAAGTTTCAAGTCCATGGCTTTTATACATTAGGAGAAATGGCCCGGACAAAATAAAAGTATGAAAATTAACAAAGGGCAATAACTCAAAAATTAGGAAGTGCAGAGTACCGGTTCTTGTGCACTGCACTTCTTCTTAATGAGATCTATCATCCTATGAAGTTTTCAAGTCCATAGCTTTTTTAGTTGAAGAGAAATGGCCCGGACAAAATCAAAGTATGAAATTAACAAAGGGCAATAAACTCAAAAAATAAGAAACTGCAGAGTACCGGTCCTTGTGCACTGCACTTCAGGTTATTGAAAGAAGCATGCATACCAAGTTTGAAGTCAATCAGACTTATAGTGACTGAGTTATGCTCCGGACAAGCTTTAGGGGACGCCGACGCCGACAACGACAACGACGCCGCCGACACAGACGCCGCCGACACCGCCGACAAAAGTAACCCCTATATGTCACCTTTTCAAGGCGACACAAAAATGGATTATAAAATTATAATAATAAGAATAACGATAATTTTCCCCACTTCGACTATTTTTACAGGATTCCGAAACGTCCGAGACAATTGATGTTCTGTCAAAAAGACACAACCACAAAATTTTAGTCAGTTATTTTGAATGCAAAGTTTGTTTTCGTCACTATATTATAAAATATAAGAACAAATTTAAAAAGGGAAATGGAATTGATATCAGTAATAGTCAGAAATTCCGCATTTTAAATAAAGGTACTTTTGTAGGCGATTACTTTGCAAGCTCAAGAAAAAATATTTCAAGCGCTTTCGTAGTAATTTTTTTGGTATCTGATAAATGCAATGAATAAATGGTAAAAATTAAGTTCCCTGAAGTGAATTTGTTTAATATTTCTTATGAAATTCTGAATGTTTTAATTAATAAATGGTAGTCGCGTACATTACAACAGGATATTTTTTTTACAAATAGGGTTGCTTCTTTCAAAGAGTAGTATACGCGAAGTATCTGGTTGATGTTCAAAATATAAAAGTGACCACTTTTTCGGCGCCACCCCCATCAAAATGGTACATCAGGGGGTTGCCTTCCTTCTGTTTGGGGGTTTGAAGGGGGCGGTGGTCCCACTCATCGCCAAGAAAATTTTGGACATGTGACAGGCTAAAAATGGCCTCCGGTCGATCTTAGGGTAACTAGTAACCGACGCTGAAAAGCCTTTTACTCTATCTCAATTCTTTGAGAAGTTGCAGCAATTTGAAATCAGTTTTGATGGGAAAAAAAACAATGCAAAATAGTGATTTTTGGCAATTTTGAGACGTCTCCCCGTTGCCATGGTAACAGGGAATTTACGATTGAGGCTATGGTCTAGTCAACATTTGTGCCAAGTTTATTGAGTATTGAAGTATTTTTCATAGTTCCATAGCAGTTTGAACTTGTAACAGGAGGCTTGTCAATGACAACGGCCATTTTTCACAATATGCTAATGGGGTAAAAAGTTAAGTCTACTTTTCGAAATTAGGTCCTGTTAAAGTGACATTATGCTCATATTTTCATTGTCAAGTTGAGCTAAATTGACTTTATATTTCAAGAGATTGACTGTTTAAATTTATTTTGACTCTCTCCTGTTCATTCATTATATACCTATAGATGGGCATAATGTCACTTTTCGATTTTTCGAAGATCGATTTTTTTTTCGAATTTCGATCTGTCAATTTCACAATTCTTATGAGAATCAGTGACTAATAGGCACAACAATTATTATGTTTTGTAAAATTTTCTAAGTTAATTAAAACCAGCACATAAATCGTACAATTTGAACATATGCTTCTGTTATATAGAAATATTCTGGACTACAAACTATTGGCTAATTCCCTGATCAAACATGTAAAGTGTTTCAGTTATGAGGAATCAAGAAGAGACGCGTTTATTTTCGATATACTTATCTGTTTACAGGACAGAAGATTCGCCGTTGCCGATGTGGCTCAGTTTCAAGGAACATGGTGAAAATGGCGGAAATAAGAGTCTGCTGCCAAGTCAATCCGGTGCTGTGGCGGCAAAAATAGGGAGACAAATATCCCGCCAAAATAGCAACAGAAGTTCAGGTGGACGGTAAGTATACATGTACATATATGTTTGCTCTAATGATTATAGAATAAATTAAAATGAGAAAATCCAGTTGTCAGTTTTTTTTTCAGTATATTTTTTCTTGTTCCGGCATTTTTTTAATCATATTTACATATAAACACACGCACACGCACACACACACACACACACACACACACACACACACACACAGAGTTTGTTGTGTAAGCACAAAATAAAAACATCGTGTAAAACATTAAAAAATTGTAAGCGGTGTTCTTTTGATTTATAGGGAAGCTGGACGGACTTTCTAGCCAACAACTTTAAACCAACTTATGTATTAATCACTGTAATAAGTTAATCTTTGAATAAGTCTCTGTTTTATTTTGTTCAGATCTGGAAAATCTGTGATAATGAAGAAAATTGAAGAACGCGAACTTAACGAAAAACCCGGTGAATGGCAAAGAAATCAAGAATACAAAAATATCAGAGAGAGACGAAAACTTTTTCGGAAACACATTGGTGCAAAACTACGAACTATAAAGAGACTATATTACCTTTCCCTTTTTGGAGTACTTTTAGGAATATTGTTCGTTTTTGGTGCAACGATACGTACCTTAGGTGACGGAACTATTTTTTGGACCTTTAAACATCAGTTTAAAATAAGTGGCGTGACACTGATAATAGTCGGAGTTATATTGTTGCTGGTTACAGTTGGTCTAGACAACGTTAGTCGGGAAAAACTGAAAAAAGCAGGTATTGAAGAGATTAAACCGGTCGTTCATCCAGATTTCTTAGAGGAGGATCCAAACAAATTCAGACGACAAACTTCCAAATGCTCCTATGCAAGCTCTTATGATCCTTCTTGTCCTGCATTAGACAGACAAAGGCTATTGTGGAACACAAATAAGCAACAAGATTATGAAGATGGATTTCTTTGTTCTAGTATTGCTTCGGCGTCAAGTACAAACATGCCAGGAACTATACCGAGAGTATATTCATCAGACCATTGGGCTAAAGTTATGGATATGAATTTAGAAAGTCTGAACAATACTGAATGTACAGGTCACTCTTCCTTTCATGGTATGCCTAATATTGAAATAACATATTGCAACGAAAAATCTACGTCTTTAACCTCAAAGTCGACTTCTGAAGTTGAGGATATTATACAATTTTCATATGCCCATAGTGATTCAACACAATCGCCTCGTAATAGTGACTCAAAAACAGTGTCGTCTGCAATTAGTGAGCCATGTAAAGTAGCATTATAGAACGCATTAGTGCAAACGGTCATGCACAGCGTTTCCGGTGATTCAAATTCAGTTAACAACGCATGCTTTCTCGTAAAACTGTGCTTATGATATTCTGATACAGATAAATAATCATATATTACCGTGTATCAAAATTAGAGGTACAATTTTTTAGATATGACAAATATAGACATGACGACTGAATTCGACCGTAAGTAACGTCATGCGTTATGCGAGTATGTTGGTTCAATGAAAAGGGATAAATAATTAAATAGACAGCTCGCATTTTTCTTTCTCTTTCGTTTACTTAGTTTTAATATTCAAAATAACTTGTTCTTAATCGTGTTAATGTGCTGTAAGGCAATTATAAACAGTTGCCCCGCACTTGATGTAAATGTTTTTCTCGTATGAAGTCAATTGGTTTCAATATTTATGTTCTTAAGATTGATAATGTCCCATAAACAGGTCCAAACAAACCTACTCAGCAGCTTTCTATCTTTAATTTTTGTTTTCATTGCTCTCGATACATCTCTCCTTTCAAGATTTTCCATCGGCTTTTTCTTGGCAAATACCATTTTCATCCGCTGAAAAATCAAGATAAATAAAAACGCTTTAAAGGCAAAATTATACCTCAGAAACAAATACATTTTTAATTCTTCAGAAAGGGCTAACATATATTTTATAATGTTTAAATAATGGTTTTAGAGAATGTTAGATGATTATTACCTAAAGAAAGTAGCGATAAATGTGAAATAATGTGTTATAAAAGTAACGAAATGTAAACAAAGTAGTATTTTGTATGGAAGACAAAACACTTATTCACTATAACTTTACTTATTGCTAACGAACAACAGATGAAAAGATGGCACAGGTATTGTCCAACAACATTGACCTGGCACTCTTGAATTTGACCCCATATTCGGTAAATTCCGTAAACGTTAAGTTAAACTATCTATTTGTAAATCGATATGAATGTATATAGCCAGTTGTTAAATGTTCTAAATTACAAAACCCTCTTAGCGCAGTCGTTAAGGGCTTTCACTTCAAGAATATAGACGTGCACTGACTCGAAGGTTCGAATCCTGGTTCAGCCACTTTTATATTTTTTCTTTTCTTATTTTAAAATTGCCATTTCTCTCTTAACTCGTGCAAAACGTTTTGATTTTTGGTTGTGTATTCTATCTGTGTAGTATTTTAATTTGTATTATGAACGTGCCGTCCTTTTTTTAAATTGTCTTATTGAAGATAATGTAATGAATAAAAAAAATGCATAAAAACCACTACTGTAAAGGTATCCTAAAAACAAGATGTAGTAAAACGATTTCAAATTAATTATTGCATGAAATAAAAAAAATGCATGTCCTCATAAAGCGGTGTTGATAAGGTATCGAACCAGGTAACTTCAGATCAGTAGTCAGGCATCTATACCAATACACCACAACTCATTGACGTGTGAAGTTAACAATGATATCGATATATTTGTTAGATACCACTGTTTATCGCCTGACCTTTACGGAAATTAATGAAGTGCCAAGTCAATATTGTTGGACAATAATTGGCCAATGAGTAACATTTTGATATTGTAAAAGTACAACAAAATTACAAAGCTTTTGAGAAATAAACATAAAATCTTTTCTGAGGCATAATGGGCCTTTAATATCATTAAGCACCAGAACGAAGAGGTTCGTCGCAAAGACTACATGTATATCAAATATCGGCTCCGGTGCAATACCTTCCAGATCATATAGATGATTTATTAAAATCAATTTCGTAGTCAATTAATGAAAAATGTAGGGTTAGTTTTTATTTTGAAAACAGGCAAAAAAAAATGTCATCTAATACCCCTGAATTTAAATCACGCTGATAAACTCGTGAAGAATAAGTCTTGAGTGGCGACTAATTTATTGTTGATCAATTAATGAACAAGGGTTTAATTACAATCTAATTGTTTTGTTATTATATTAAGCTGTGTTGAATACAATCTTTTTATGATAATGTTATAAATACACGCGATGTAAAGAACACATTTACAACCAATCATTGCCTAAATCTAGAGGAACATCAGTCAGTAGTACATGCTCTGTCAGGTATTTAAAACAGAAAGCCAGCTTCTAAAGAGTTTGTAAATTTCAAACATGGCTTTTGTAAGTGGACTCGGTGGAGGCCATGGAGGTACAAGCTACTATGACAAGAGGTGAGGAGTTATAATATATACAAATTTGCTATTATGTTTTGTACTTGTTCCTGCTCTTATCGTAACTTATTTTTTTTTACAAACAAAGATTACCAAACGGTTTAACTTAAGGATGGTGGTTATTTTTTTCTTCTTCCAGAAATAGCATCGTTGCTAAACAAGACAATATTGAGGAATGTGGCTGTATCAACTTGAGGTTGAATAAAAGTAAGAAGAGAACAAAAATGTCTCTTATGAAAGAACGCATTAAACAGTTCAGCATTTGGTTCTTTGAAAATGAAGATCATAAAGAAGTGGAACACGTCAGACGCAGGTTAGAAAGAAAGAGGAAAAGGAAACTTCTTGCTAAGAAACGTGGTGCACGGCCTATACGTTGGTTGTATGTGCTAGACGTGATATTGTGGATAGCGGGCATTGCTATTACATTGTGCAGTTCCATCAAGGCTTTCGGAGAAAACACGGAGTTTTATAAACGAAAAGAGTTATACCGTCCCCTAGGACCATGCGTTCTCGCCGCCGCCGCCTTGTTTCTATTCCTTGCAACGGGTTTAAAACACCGGATGCAAATTAAGCACAATAAGCCTCCACAGAGAGCTTTTTATATTGTGCAAAAGAACAACAAAAATTCAGAAACTGACCCTGATATTAAAGATCCAGATAACGATTCCGGAAATGAAGAAGATATTGAAATGACAGTGTTAGGTTTAAAAAGTGAAAGTTATTTGGAAACGGCCAAAGAAATAGGTGCAAAAAAAGAAATAGAAACAAACAGAGCAGATGACACAGAAAGATTAAAAGCCAGCATGCCATCTAGTGAATGGCCAAAAGTTGCGTTTTATCAAGAAGACGAAAGGTATACAAGACGAGATCAAAGCAGAAAGGCATGGGCTAAAACAAAGTGGATGAGAGTGGAATCTTATGATCATGACGATGTGTTAGATTTAACCGAAGATGTCTTAATTGGCGGAAAAAAACATGGACAGGGTGAAACACGAGAATCTCATGCTGAACTTCCAGTTAGGTATACGAACATATCAGAAAATAGGCGAATTACTAGATTTAAACCCCGTCCTGGTGGCTGTTTCACCGCACAGTCTTCAATTAAATCGCAAACATCAGAAATATCTTTTGCCAGCACAACATCAGAGTCAGCGCCTCTAGTAAGGAAATAGACAATGGTCGCTGATAGATATCTTCATGGACATGTCTATTGCAATAACCTTTTTAAACGCCAGTCAGCGAGAGCTATTTTCTTTTTCTTTTGCAGTGGCCAGAAGTGCAGTGGCACACGAATTATCTCATTAAAAAGGACTAAAAAAAGGATTGGAGCACCACACTAAATACCGTATTCCGGTATATACCGGGCAAGGCGCTTGAATCGTAAAATGCCAAAATCTTGCTTTATGAACTTTAATAGGTCTAATTCATCTTTTCACACCGATTCACTGCGGATGATCACGTGACCAAAATCGTACAATGGGCTCATAAAATGGCGGCTTAAACGCTCAGTAAAAGCAGTGAAATTGAGGTAAGCATACAGTTAACGTTATATTTATATGTAAAACTAGGCCGCACGGAACCCCTGTATAATCAAAGCACAGAAGGCGCTGAATTTGTTTGGGTCTCAGAATGTCAGAAAGGTGAAGGTTGTGAGATTATAAACCAATTTGTTTTTGTAAAGTGCCACCAAGGCTTTTCAGCGTTTTAATTGTAGTAAATTGGCTATAAGACTAATTTAAACACTGATATTCAATCCAATGTTTATTTGACTTAAACAATTTGAAAAAAAAAAATCCCTTAACAGGGGTTTGAACTCCAGACCTCTCGCATCGTAAGCGAGCGCGCCAACCCCTCGGCCACGGTGAATTTATTTGTTAACAGTCTGAAGAAAACTACATTTGTATATTATTCTATATTAGGGTTTGTAACGACGCTAACTGTTGTTTAACACAGATGTAAATAATAATGTAGCTTACTATAAGCATGTATATCTATAAAGAATAAAACAATATTAGAAATCTTCGACCATTCAGGAATTATTTTGCTTGAAAATTAATGCGCCTGTCATTTGACCATCTTTACGCAGTGATCTCCCCTGAATTTTTCGGCGTTAGTTTACATATAAAGGGAAGTAACCGCTTCAAAAAAGCGAACTTCTTTCGGCACTTGCAATTAACAGCATGAGAGTCTGAAATTTCGCTACCATTATTTGTTTGGTCTGACGACCCAAACAAATCAAAGCACAGAAGTTGCTGAATTTGTTTGGGTCTCAGAATGTAAGAAAGGTGCAGGTTGTGAGATTATATGTATAGTGCCACCAATGCTTTCCAGCGTTTTAATTGTAGTAAATTGGCTATAAGACTAATTGCAACACTGATATTCAATCCAATGTTTATTTGACTTTAACAATTAGAAAAAAAAATGAGTTACCTTTACTGGGATTTGAACTCCAGACCTCTCGCTTCCTAAGCGAGCCCGAAAACCCTTCAGCCACGGTGAATTTATATGTGAACGGGCTGAAGAAAACCATATTATTCTAAATTAGGGCTTGTAACGACTTTAACTGTTGTTTATCACAGATGTAAATAATCCTGGAGCTTACGATAAGCATTTATATTTATAAAAAATCAAAGTGCTGCAAGTTCTGTGGTATTTTCTGATCTTTGCAAGCTAAATCGTACTGTATATCTGTATGCATTTTCCTGTAAAGGTTTATTTTTATGTATTATAATTCATTTTGCAAGGCACCAGAGTTTGATACATACGGAATTCTGCATAACTAGAGTTGCATCAAAAAATCATTTATGTTCATTTTTTACGACAGTCACACTTTATCCTTGCATATCATGGCTACTTCCTCAACAAAAACACTTAAAAAAGAATTTATCAAAAAAAAAATTTCCTCGACTGGGATTCGAACTCGAGACCTCTCACTCACTAAGCGAGCGCGTTACCACTGTACCACGGAAAAGTTATACACAACAAGTCTGAATAATATCAAGTCATTATAAATTGAGAACTTCCATTGCATTTCGGGTTTGTAATCCTTATTAATTTCGAGGTATTTTGTTCAGGGTAAACCTGTTGTTTAAAATTGAAGTAAATATTTTAGCGAAAATCCTCTCGCCCAAACAGTCCGACATGTAGAATCTATATATTCCACTACTCGGTTTGTGTAGTATTCGGTTATAAATAGTATTTTCATTGATAAAATCATATTCATCCGCGTAATTTGTGATTGTGCATTTATTGACAATTCTATAAGCCAACGCTATTGTTTAACTTTAAATGCGTTGTAATTTGTTGGATACTTGTAACAAAATAAAATATTTCTTTCTTTTAAATCGCTAGTTTTAAGCTGTTTTGAGAACTACTTGTTGTTAGGTTTGTTGTAAACTTCTGTTCAGAGATTGAATGTCCGCTTTGTATTTAGTTATTTTCGATCAGAAAATACAATAAAACAATATTAGAAACCTTCGACCATTCGGGAATTACTTTGCTTGAAAATTGATGCGCCTGTCTTTGACCATCTTTACACAGTGATCTCCCCTGAATTTTTCGGCTTTAGTGTACATACAAAAGGGAAGTAACCGCTTCAAAAAGTGGACTACTTTCGGCATTTGCAATTACGAACATTATACTCTGAAATTTCGCTACCATTATTTGTTTGGTCTGACGACCCAAACAAATAATAAAAACCACGTACTGTTTTGTTATTGGTCACTTTGTTGCTCTCTCTGTTTAGGCCTGAAAGCCGAAAAAAGTTGTTTTGGGTGATGAGTACAATGGCCGAACAGGTACTAAAATGCGTTGTTTTCATTAAAAGAAACATATTTTGAGCAAAATGAGCAATGACATCTTGTGCACAATTGCAGGTTTGCCCGTCATGAACAATTTACATCCTTTGTAAAGATGCATAACGAAGTTGTGCATCTTTTTAAAAAACGAGTACAACGGTCGAACCAAATTTAATGAGTACAATGGCCGAACGATTTTATTGCCTGTCCTATTTTGCCATATTTTTTTTTTCATTGAATTATGCTTGTTTCTCGCTTCCTGTCTTTGAAATCATACAAATATCATATTTGAAAGTGAAAAGTAGGAAGAAGTATTAAATTAAATGAATTCAATTTGCTTGCTTTAAATTCTCCTCTTAACAGTATTCTGTTTTGATAACACACGTGTACATCAGCTTAAAAGAAGTATATGCAATAAAAAAATAAAATACAAACATGTACATATTAATATAGAATTTATTTCACCAGCAAAATGAATGTTTCAATTACATACATAAAAGGAAATAAAGTCTGGGTTTTTTTGTTTCCGTTTTTGTTGTTTTTTCGTATCTTAGACGCAGAAAAAAGTTGTTCCTTAAATGAAAAGCATGTTTACATATATCTATGGAATATATACATGTAATGTTTATTTTAGATTTTAATATTGTGCTTATATTATCGTTAAATACGTCATATTAAGTACTTCAATATCTTTACAGGAATTTGAAATTTCTTATGTGTTTATTTGCCGGCATTATGAAATCGTATAGAAGATGATCAGCTTCATGTCATCACGAGCAGGTACACAAGGGGAAGGCACCCCATAAATGCTGTGGGACATTGTTTCTAAGTTTCGGCAAATTGCAAAAACCTGGGTCTGTAAATTACATATCATACATGAAGTACATAGCTGTCTGATATTTCTACATGCGGCTTGTGTGACAAAGATGGAAAGAACACAAAGAAATGGTTACATAAAGAAAAAGTATTAAGAAAATGAAATAAGATAATCCTTGAGCAATATATTGCCCTATTATTTGCAGCGGCATACACTCTACCCTTTGTGTTGAGAAATGAACGCATTACATACGTTCCTAAAAGGATTCAGTTGAAGTACAAAATTTCTTATGAGATCAAATATTATGAAACCCGGTTATAATAGCTCCAACACCGTTAAACATAACATGGAAGCTATATTTACATCAATAAACTGATAGTATTTCTAAATTCAAATGTGTTTCAGTTGTTTCAGAGCAAACAACCATGGCGGACTAAAACGTTTCAGGCAGTCAGTTCGCGACAAAATCTGAACTTAAGCAACACAAGTTATTCACTCAATAAACTTGATTGACATTTCTGCACGTGACAAAAATATCATGATATGACCAAAACAAAGTCTGATGACTTAATAAGAGGCACTTTTGTGACAATGACTAGAACAAACAAAGTTTCACTGAGTTTGCTTTGATATTATACACTTTGATCAGTGATTACTCAAACCCTGACTATATATGTAGGCTCTTCCACAAGTACATTTGTGTTTTTTTTTGCCGGAATGGGAAGAAAGGTGATCAATCAGCATTGCCCTAGTTCGAAAAGCCTTGGGCAGATGCTGCAAGTTAGAGTGGGTTAGCATTGAATAACTTGTGTTGCTCAAGCTCAGATTTTGTCGCAAACGAACTGCCACATTCTTTGCACTGATGCAGTTTTGCTCCGCCATGGTTGTTTGCTCTGAAACAACTTAGAATTTAGAAATCAGTTTATTGTTGTAAATATAGCTTCCATGTTGTGTTTAACGGTGTTGGAGCTATTATAACCGGGTTTCATAATATTTGTCCTAATAAGAAATTTTGTAATTTAATTGTATCTATTTCGGAACATATATAATGCGTTCATTTTAGCACAAAGGGTACATTGTATATTGCTCCTTATTGCAAATAATGGGGCAATATATTGCCCCAGGGTTATCTAATTTCTTTTTCTTTATAGCTTTTCTTTATTTACATGTAACCATTTCTTTGTGTTCTTTCCATCTTAGACACTCATGCCGTATGTAGAAATATCAGACAGCTATGTACTTCATGTATTATATGCAATTTACAAACCTATGTCTTTGCAATTTGCCGAAACTTAGGAAACATGTCCCACAGCATGTATGGGGTACCTTCCCCTTGTGTACCTGCTCGTGACGACATGAAGCTGATCGCCTTCTATACGTTTTCATAATGCCGGCAAATAAACACATCAGAATTTCCGATTCCTGTAAAGATACTGAATTTCTTAATATGGTGTGATGAAATGTGTTTAACGATAATATAAGCACAATATTTAAATCTAAAATAAACAATACATGTATTTATTTCATAGATATACGTAAACATGCTTTTCATTTAAAGGAACACCTTTTTCTGCGTCTGAAATACCAAAAAAAAAAAACACCAACAACCGACTTTATTTCTAAAATAAATTGTCAAAATGGTATGACATTTCATGTATGTAAATGAAACATATATTTTGCTGGTGAAATAGATTCTATATATTGTACATGTTTGTATTTTATTTTCGTATTGTAAATACTTTTAAGCCGATGTACACGTGTGTTATCAAAGCAGAATACTATTAAGATGAGAATGTTTACAAAGGAAACTGAATTCATTTAATTTAAACTTTTTTCTACTTTTCACTTTCAAATGTTAAATTTGTATGATGACAAAAACAGGAAGTAAAAGTAGAAACAAGCATAATTCAATGAAAAAAATTGGCAAAATAGGACAGGCAATAAAATCGTTCGGCCATTGTACTCATTAAATTTGGTTCGACCATTGTACTCGTTTTTTAAAAAGATGCACAACTTCGTTATGCAACTTTACAAAGGATGTAAATTGTTCATGACGGGCAAACTTGCAATTGTGCACAAGATGTCATTGCTCATTTTGCTCAAAATGCGTTTCTTTTACTGAAAACAACGCATTTTAGTACCTGTTCGGCCATTGTACTCATCACCCAAAACAACCTTTTCGTCTTTCAGGCCTAAACAGAGAGAGCCACAAAGTAACCAATAACAGAACAGTACGTGGTTTTTATACAGGGGTTCCTTGCGCCTAGTTTTACATATAAGTTTATCGTTAACTGTATGCTTACCTCAATTTCACTGCTTTTACCGAGCGTTAAAGCCGCCATTTTATGAGCCCATTGTACAATTTTGGTCACGTGATCATCCGCAAGTGCGATTTATGTATGATAAAAAAACGATATTTGTCTATTTTGTGATCATGATTTCTGCAAGCGTCTAGAGGTACTGCTCCAATTCTGTATTGAGTTAAATGTGGCGTCTACATTTAGACGATCCGTCATTGCATAATAAATTGACATTTTTTTTGTTATAAATTTTGGTATAAAGTGGGCGATAATTTTCAAATTGTTATGTATAAGATGTATTTAACGTAATGCAGTTACATTAGGTAATTGATTTTGTTAACATTTTATACAATGAATTATTTTGCTATCTTTATAAATGATTGGTATATAACAGATGCGTTTTGTTTATTTAAACCTCCGTCATGTATGTAATACAGCAATACAACAGGTATTTACTACATGTAGTTTCAAAATTTTAGACAATAGTAAGCCTAATGTCTTGTACTTTGAAATGAAATATTTCACCGCTTTCAAATACTTCAAATATTGTCCGCTTTCCCCATCGAATACAGAAACACTAAAACCCAAAACATAATAAATTAGAATTTTTTTGATAATGTTGTTACCCATACTAATTATTTATGCTACTCTTCGTTCACATGTTATTGCTTGATACATGTTAAATGTGTATTATGTAATCTGTGACAATTGAAAATAAAGTGATTTGTATTGTATTGTATTGTATAATAATGATTCACAAATAAAAACAAATTTTAACTAGAACTATCACTAAATGTGATTAATACCCCCCGCAAGACTGCTTCGGAAATGAGGATGTTACTAGTAACAGAATACCTTGTAAAAGAATTGAAATATAGAGTTATGGTTGTGGGCAATTAAAGATAGTTGTGGTTCTTGTATGTTGCATTTCCTTTCAATGTGGTTGGCCATTGATGAAGTTTTATTGGATTACTCTGTAAGAAGTCCAGAAAAACAAGGAAAAGGAACAAAGGGCAATAACTCTATAAATACTGAAGATTGAGTAAAGGCTATTGTACACTGCACTTCCTCTCATTGCGCTTGACCATTGTATTAAGTTGTATTGAATTCCAACTACTAGTTTTCAAGTTATGCACTGGACAAAAAAGTAACAAAAGCAATAACTGTAATTAGTCCAAATAGAGTTATTGTTCTTGTGCACTGCACTTCATCTGATGATGATCTCACTGCCCTTGACCATTGTATAAAGTTTCATTGAATTCCAACCATTAATTTTCAAGTTATGCACTGGACAATAAAAAGTAACAAAGGGCAAAAACTTTTAAATTAGTCAAAAAAGAGTTATGCTTTCTGTGCACTGCACTTCCTCTCAATATACTTGACCATAGTATGAAATAGTTTTGAATTCCAACTAGTAGTTTTCAAGTTATGCTCTGGACAAGGAAAAGTAACAAAGGGCAGTAACTCTGTAATTAGTCAAAATGGAGTTATGGTTCTTGTGCACTGCACTTTCTCTTATTGTGCTTGACAATTGTATGACGTTGTTATAAATTCCAACCAGTATGTTTTAAGTTATGCTCCAGACAAGGAAAAGTATCAAAGGGCAATAACTCTGTAATTTTTCTAAATGGAGTTATAATTCTTGTGCACTGCATTTCCTCTTAATGTGCTTGACAACTGCATGAAGTTGTATTGAATTCCAACCAGTAGTTTTCAAGTTATGCTCCAGACAGGGAAAAGTAACAAAGGGCAATAACTCTGTCATTAGTCAAGATGGAGTTATGGTTCTCATGCACTGCACTTCCTCTCAATGAGCTTGACCATTGTATGAAGTTATATTGAATTCCAACTAGTAGTCTTTAAGTTATGCTCCGGACAAAAAAAAGCAATCGAAAAGTAACAAAGGGCAATAACTTTGTAATAAGTCAAAATGGAGTTATGGTTCTTGTGCACTGCACTTCCCCTTATTGTGCTTGGCCATTGTATGAAATTGTTTTGAATTCCAACCAGTAGTTTTCAAGTTATGCTCTGGACAAGGAAAAGTAACAAAGGGCAGTAACTCTGTAATTAGTCAAAATGGAGTTATGGTTCTCATGCACTGCACTTCCTCTCAATGTGCTTGACCATTGTATGAAGTTATATTGAATTCCAACAATTAGTCTTCAAGTTTGAGTCCAGACAAAAAAAAGCAATGGAAAAATAATAAAGGGCAATAACTCTGTAATTACTT